TCGGGTAGAGCGGCAAAGTGCTGCAGCACCAGCTTAAAATAGCTCCAACAGAGTTGTCGGCTCCGAAATTGACGCGCTTGACAGGGCCGTTTCACGGTAAAGGAATTGTGTCCGTGCTGAAGCAACAGCGATACTGTCGAGCGGACTGCAGCAGCTCTACTAACGCGCAGCTCGGGCGTCCATCGTGGTACGGAGGAGCTGGCGGAGCCCTTGAACGAAACACGTTGAATGTCAGCAATGTTGGCGGCAATTTTGATTTTGTTTTCATTTATTCCGATTTTCTACGTACTCGGGTAATGCTCGGCACGAAAATTCTTTCTAGATATCCACATGATTTGCAAAAAATGCAGGAAAATTCTTGATAAATATCCACATTATTTGCAAAAAATGCTAGGAATTTTTCACAAAACCCGTGTCAAATAGAGAGAACAGAGTTTCTGCAGCGAAGGAGACCGATTTCCGTTATTTCATCAAATACGCCGACAACACCTCGAACAGCAGCACGATGGCATCGAAGCTTCGGGAGGCGGAGGAGAACCTGCACAAGGCAGAGAAGCACTTGAAGACGTCCATGTTTCGATGGAGTGCAGACTGTATGAGCGCGGCGCCATACTTGGAGAAAGCCGCGGAAGGATTCCGCGCCGGGCAAGACTTTGCTCGAGCGTCGACGACGTACGTGCGCCTCGCTGAGGTCCAACACAAGAACCAAGCGACCTTCCGTGCGGCGATGCACATGGAAACCGCAGCCAAGTTGCATTTGCAGTACGCCCCCAAGCAGCCCGAGACGGCCAAGGAATACTACCACACGGCGGCGTCGTACTATGGCGAAACTGGGGAACTCGGCAAGGCCGCAGAGATGCTGCTCAAGGGTGCAACAGCGTTGGAAGAGGTCGGACACACCGATATCAAGCAGATGTACGTCGTTGAGTTATCTTGTTCCCATGTCGATCACGTTGAATCGTCGCGCTGCGTTTTCGGTGTAGGTACCTCGAAGCATGCGATCTCATGGAAGCACAGGACAAGCCGCATTTTGCCGTCGATGTGTTTCGGAAGACTGCGGGCTTTCTCCTGAAGAAGCGCAAAGCGTACGACGAAGTCGTGGCCAGCTACACCAAGCAAATCCAGCTCTTCCAAGCGATCGATCAGGTCGACCTCCTTCGTGTGGCCATGCATTCAAACGCGGACTGTGTTTCATCTGCAGAAGGAAAACATGTACAAAGCATTCGCGAGCATTGTCGTGCTGCATTTGGCCAAGCCCGACGTCGTCGCCGCCGATCAAGCGTACATGCAGCATCTCCAGGACGACGGGTACCTCCACACCGATGAGTGCGCGCTCAGTGAGGACTTGATTGGGGCTTTCAAGCGAGGTTGGTCC